CAGCGCAAGCAGAAGGGGCAGGCAGGAGCGATGTGGGAGTCCTCGCAGTAATCCAACAAAAATCAGCAGCGGAGAAGGGAAGAAGGAGAAACAGGTGAGGGTCATGTGCTCTGACCCCCAGGAATGATGTTTCTGTCAGTGCTACTGGGACAGAAAACACAGGGATGGCAAAACGCCAACAACGTGAAGCTTAGGTGGTGGGAACACAGGTGCCACTGTATGTCTTTACGACACTCTGCATCTTTCAGATCTCTCAAAATAAAAAAAATTTCACGTGAGTACATCCAGGTTTGGACCAGGGATGGCTATTTTCCCTCCACAAGGAAGGAAGGAAGAAAACATTCCTCCCTAGGCTAGGTTCACAAAGAAGCACCTGCCTGTTCTCCAGCATCACAACACGAATGCACACACGTGCACTCCAAACCCAGGCAGAAAGCCTAGCACAAATGTAAAACAGCCACACGTACAAACACCAACCACCTCCCAGGCAGCAGCACACCCACACGCCCCTCCAATGACTACCGCATCCACCACCACGCAAGGGTGTGTCCACACTGCCCGGCAGCATCACCGCCCGGCAGCATCACCACCCTACAAGTGCGTAAAATGTGACAGGTTCTGTTGGAGGGAATAAGAATCCCACTGCTAGATTACCATCAGCAGGCCCCGAGAGTTCAGGCTACCACTGTGGACAGTGGTAGCTGTCAGGACAAAGGCTGTCAGGACACAGAGCCCAGGGGTGAGACCCACCCAGCAATAAAGAGCAAACAGGAAAAAAGAAACTCACGCAATATAATTTTCCCCCGTCACTTTAACTGATCATAACTTTGTGAGTTTTAAAATCTGAATGCAGATGTAATAAGAACATGAGATCTTGAGAGAGGGACTAACAATTCCATCATCCGCCATTACTCAACTAAGCCCCTGCTCCTCTTCCTCAGCTCCTGAGGGTGATGCCAACGGTGGACAGGGAGCGGCATACTTACCTTTGTTTCTCCTCTCATCTTTGAAGCCCAGCGTCGTGAAGCCCGGGAGCAGCTTGCTGGAAAGTGAGCTCAGGTCCACCGGGTGTGTCTCCTCTTCTGCAACAGAGGACACAGGTGGCCGTGAGCAGACACCTTCTCTACATCACAAAGGATTTGTGTGGATGAAGTGGGGACAGGAACTCTAATGAGTTTACAAAAGTGAACCACTATTCCCATAACTAACTGCATTTCAATTCATAATTACCCCAAAGTCAACATAATGAAATACTTCACATCTCTGACCAGCACACCAACAATACATTTTCTGATTGACCACTCAACACCTCCAAAAAGAAATCTTATCCTGTATGCCACGACAGCAGAAGAGTGGAGCCTCTGTCTTCTGTGCATTCGTGACAGCGCGCCTGCAGGGCTGAATCCGTCCTCCACACACTGCTCGTCGGACTGCGCAGGGCCCCACAATGCCCCCTCGGAACCTCAATCTCCGTGTTTGCTCTCTAAGCTTAGTAGTGACTAATTCGCCTACTCTCCCTTATGGAGAACACTGTGACTCCTTCCAGCTGAAGACTGAAGAAACCGGTCAGCGTTTCTATTCTGTGTGCACCACTCGTCTAGGGCTGGGTGAAAGAACTCCACCAGGCACAAGCCCTGCAGGAGCCGCCCCACGTTTAGGCAAGACCAAGAGAAAGCAGGGAGACGCCGAGGCCAGCCCTCGCGCACTTTCATTCCCCTTGTGTGTGCCTATGAGTGCAGTACAAATCCTGGGGAATTACACTTTTCTCAAGGATGAGTTTTGAATTATTTTTCAAGGAGATGAAAAAGGGTAAGAAGTTCTTAAAGACCAAGAACATGTCCTATCAGGTTGTACAGACCCAGAACACATGTCCTCCTTCAAGAGCACCCTTGACTTAATTGTCAAATGGGTCTTTGACCTTCTGAAATCGCTGTCCAGCTTCACAGAGCAGAGGGTCCATGTGCTGGTGTCTGAGGAAGCAGTGCTGACTTAAGCCCTTGCTGATGTTATCAGCAAAGTTAGGCCTTGCAGGCTTCTCGGCAGCTTTTTGGGAGCGTGATGCCAAGTCCCACTGCCATCCTGAAGAACCCTGAGAAGGTATGACCAGCACTCTGGCCCCTCTGGACGACCACCCACGGTTGCCTCTCAGCACAGCATCATGTCAGGGGTGTGTGCAGGATCAGGAAGCCAACAGCTCCTCCTGCTGCCCCTTTACAATACGTGGTATCCACGTGACAAGTCCCTGGTCCCTGCATGTGAACGTCATCAGGACAGCATGCAGGCAACAGAAAGCCCATCCCACGCAGCCACACCCACCGTCAGGGTCCGGCTGGACGGTGTTGACCACGCTGTAGAGCAGGCTCCCATCTCCACTCCTCTTCAGGTAGCCCATCTGCAAGGAAGCACCACCTGAGTGTCTACCCCCTGGAAGGGCATCATTTGATTCCCACAGTTGAGATTTCTACCAAACCACAAATAAAATGGAGGCCAACAGCATGGCTTAACTTGGGTAAAACCCAGAATGCCACAAAAGTTATTAGTTTCTTCGTGAACAAATGCCTCTCGACCCAATGCAGGAATTCAGGGCTGGCCTGCTAGTGACAAGAGTGCACAGATGCACAATAGAGAACTTAGACTCCTTGTCATCCTCTAAAAGGGGCGCTTTCGAAACAAAAACCTTTACCCAGAAGCAAACACTGATAATCATTCACAAGCCTGAACAAAATGACATGAAACAAGATAGCCGGTCAACAAGATGTACTACCACCTGATGCTCCATCTCTAACGCTCGAGAACTTATTTCCTTTTAAAAACCCACCACCAAACACCACAATCCTGTCTACAGGCCTTCAGGAGGATCCAGGAAGAGGTGGCACCTCTGATGCGGATTCAGAGGGCTGTCTGTGCAGAGGATGGCCAGGCTCAGTGAGAAGGGGCCATCCACGCAGGTGACAGGTATCAGTTGGCCCGAGTGGAGTGGCCAGTGAGCAGTGTCAGAGCCCAGCCAAGGGGAGAGCAAATCGGGGGGAGAAGTGGGAGATAAGTGAAACGAGGCACTGATCAAATCAGTCTATAATGGGCAACAGGTTTCTCAGTTGCAAAACTGAAAGGGAAAAAAGCGATGTTGGATGGAATTGGAGATTTCAGTGTGAACATTACTTTCAGTAAATGTAAACACAGGCGCCAAATACAGACTTCCTTCTAGAAGCTGTGTATTATGTACATGGTGCATACATGTGCACATGCATTTCCCAGCTCTACCGCTGACAGGGCCTCACCCAGCACCCATATCTTGGTTCCTAAACAAGGTTCTCCACTAAGGGAACCAGGGCTGAAGCACAGCCTGCGGGCAGAGGAGTGCTGTCCGACACAAGGACCATGCCAGCCACACGGGCAATTTTTTTTTTTTGTCTTTTTTTTCATGACCGGTAAGGGGATCACAACCCTTGGCTTGGTGTTGCCTGCACCGCACTCAGCCAGTGAGCGCACCGGCCATACCTATATAGGATCCAAACCCGTGGCGGGAGCGCTGCTGCGCTCCCAAGTGCCACACTCTCCCAAGTGCGCCACGGGGCCAGCCCCCACATGGGCAATTTTAAACCTTCTATCAGGCTTACTAGGAAAACCAAACACAAACCAGTGAAGTTAATGTATTTCATATAACCCGACACATCCTAAATGTCACCATTCCAACACTCGTTACAAACAATCCAGTGTGCATCTCGAGGACTACCATGAGAAAGACTGTGCAGTTCTCACTAGGGAGCCTCATGCAGACGACTGCTGACGTGGTGAGACTGTGGACATGAGGAGGCCAAATAAAACATAGCAGGGTTAGTTTTAACTGTGTCCTTTCACTCCTGTTCACATGGCCACTTTGTAAGTTTAAAACCTCAGATAGGACTTGTGTTCTATCCCACCGGATGTGCTGGTCTAGGACCTCTTGTGCCAGAGAGGTGTCCAAAGGACAGTGGAGCCTGGTTCTGAGGATACAGCGCTCAGCTGGATGGGCTTACACCGGCAACATCTGGCAAGGTGGAGCAGCAGCATCGACACAACAGTAATGGTCAAACAGCGACCCATGAGCTACTGCAGGGATATGTGGTGGACAGAGTGGTACCTCACACAAATAGCTACCATGATAAAGGGAGCAGCCTGGCAGGCAGGGCCTCCATCAAGCAGTGGAGACAACGGGGTAACGAGGGATACGGCCAGGACAACGCTTCCACACCACTGTGGTGCTGGCCCTGCCAGTAAGGCACCCTGGACCCCTCCTGAGAAAACGGCCAGGGAGGGCTGAGGAATCAATCCTGACTGCAGGGGCCACAAGCAGCATGTGCTTTTGACCAGGGCACCCTGGGATTAAGGGTACCACAGTGGCACTCAGATGAGAACCTAACAATGCCCCAGTGTGAACCTCCTGATCCTGATGATGTGCTGGGTTATCCCAGCCCCGTCCTGGGAGGAAATACACAGTTGTTGTTTGGGGTTGAGTGGCACCCCCCTCACAGGATGGCCACGGGCACTACCTTGCCACCTGGCAGGAACCGGGTGATCCTGTCACGAGCCTCATCAGCTGCATGCTCCACCAAGGCCAGCACATGCTCCTCTGCGGTGCTGTCCGTCAGGCTGCAGGCGTTTCCCTCAGGCTCAAACACGCAGCTGCAGGGCAGGAGCACAGGCACATCACACACCCACCCTCACCAGTCAGCCCCCAACCTGGGCCTCTGCCAACACACCCCTCGGACAAGGAGGGCCAGCAGGGGCAACTCAGAGCACATCTCCACTCCTCTTACATCTCAAAGTGTTCCTCTTTGCTCCAACCATAACAAGACACTTTTATTAAAATCAAGCACACATGTAATAAGCCAAGTAGACACTCTTAACTTTTCATGTCTCAAATGCTTCAGTCACTTCCAGAACAAAAGAAATGTAAAATGACAGAAGCCACATCAGTTACAAAGGCATTAAAGGCACTATTAGAAAAAGTGAGAAAAACCCCTAAAAGGTTGAGCACAGCACTGGCAGCAGGGCGGGCAGAAGAGGCCCTGGAGCTACTGACAGCTGGCCAGGGCTGTGGGGCAGGTGCAGAGCAGCTCCCGCTGCTGTCCCCAAGGACCGGCCCAAGGGACAAGCTGAGACTTCTCAACCTTAGCAGCTAAATTAGGTGCTGGGCACAGACCCAAGGGGTTGGCCTCCCTCCTGCGGAAGGTTCTAGAGGTAGATGGGTGGCCCTGGGCTTGGGTCTGATAAGGTATTGGACAAGCCTGCCTGTGAGAATGACCAGGCTCTTGCCACTGATGTGCAGTGTGGCACCCTAGAGACCCAGCACAGAAGGAGCATCCAGAGCTCACGGTTCGGGGGCTCCTCGGCTCTGGGACTGCAAATCAAGCTTGGCCTTTGACACACACCATGTGTGACGTCAGGCAAACGCTGGCACAGAAGCCCAGAGCACTCTGCTGACCAGACCACAGGCTGTGAGATCTGGAGATCCAGAGGAAATAATGTAACTCTGCTGCTCTCTCTAAAGACCCTCAATCCCACAGATGAGGCAAGAAACCTCTGCTGACCAGACCACAGGCTGTGAGATCTGGAGATCCAGAGGAAATAATGTAACTCTGCCGCTCTCTCTAAAGACCCTCAATCCCACAGATGAGGCAAGAAACCTTAGCACCAAGATCACCCAAACCCAGCAGAGCAAGACCCTCCCCTTGAGTTAGGGGACCAAGGAGACCAGATAGCCACAACTTGCAGTCAACATTTCCACAGCAGAGAGAGGGTGGCAAGCGCATCAGCCGTGCCAGGAACACACAGGCCTCCGTGACCAACCTCTGAGATTGAGGCGGGTCACCGCTTTTACCACCAGAATGAGGCGCCCACAGCAGGCATGACCAAGCCCTCCGCCTGGTCACCTGTGCAGCATCCCGCCGCCCCTTCTGTTCAACCCGGGGGAGTCCCCCCACAACACACACAGGTTAGAACAGAGTGGCCACCAATTAGACACAATCATGAAAGAAAACATACTAGAATTTCCCTAAAGCTCTTTAAAACCAACTAATGACACAAACTTGAATTCAGTCTCAGTACTTAGCCACCACGAGGAGACAAAGGGCCTTGCAAAGACCCCTCTGGGTTTTGGATACAAAGGAAGGGGGCTCCCTGAAGGACCACCAGAGTCAGCTCAAGCCTGCTTCCTCCTTCCACAGCCTCCACATTCCTTGCCCTGGGGCTGTCCCCTCCCCCAGTTCAGTGTCTACACAGCCACAGAAGCAAGGAGCTCAGGGAATGTGCGCCTGTCATGGGGCAAGAAGGAAGCCACAGCCTCCACATTCCTTGCCCTGGGGCTGTCCCCTCCCCCAGTTCAGTGTCTACACAGCTACAGAAGCAAGGAGCTCAGGGAATGTGCGCCTGTCATGGGGCAAGAAGGAAGCCCCTGCACCCCAGTGTTGGCTGCCTAGAGCAGGCCCATTGTGTCTCCTGCGCTCTGGGGCAGCGCAAAGCCGAGGCTGCCAACAGGTGCTGTGTATGGGATGTGGTGGGGCTTCCTGGGAGCGAGGGGCCAATGAATGCCCAAAAGCAGTACACATGTGGCAACAGTGGCCACTAGTCAGCAGCAAGTGCTCCACAGCGTTGGCTGAGGGGCTCACTGTGCCACGCCTGGCCAGGGATGCTCAGGGCTGTCTCAGCCCCTCTGCCTCCTGCATGCATCCGTGGGACAAGCTGTTCTGTGGTTGAGGGATGGAGGTGTGACAGCACACAGACAGCACAGGTCAGAGAGCAACAAAACCACTGCCCAGAGCTGCTATGTGGGACCCCGGAGTCTTCTGACATCTCCCGCTAACTATGGTGACACTACCTATGTACAGTCACCTCATTCTTGAGGTAAGCAGGGTCACTTCCCTCTGAAATACAGACGCTCCTTGATCTACGATGAGGCTACGTCACGGTAAACCCATTGGGTGTGTGGAAAATTCACTTAGAATGCCTCACCGAACATCACAGCTTAGCCTAGCCCACTTCAAACATGCTCAGAACACTCCCATTAGCCTACAGTTGGGCAGAATCTAACACAAAGCCTACTTCATAATAGTGTTGGATATCTTGTCGTTTTCTGAATACTGAAAATGAAAAGCAGAAGGTATGAGCACTCAAAGTAGGGTTTGTACTGAATGCACATCACTTCTCAAAACTGTAAAGTCGAAAAGCCCCAAGTCCCACCACCGTAAGTCGGGACTGTCTCCCAGGTCTAGGGAAGCACTGCAGGACAGCACTGCCAGGTCCCCAGCGCCTCAGAAGGCCTGCGTATAGGACCCACACCCCCGGACTCTGAAGAACACGCTCCTCCCTCCAGGAAGAGCCTGCACATGCAAGACGTCTGTCTCCCTCACCCACTCTCACCAGTGAAGCACCTGCTTTCCTGACTGTGGGTGCTCAACTCCGAGAGGCAAACACATTTCCATGGAGCCATTACCTGATAACTTCTCTACTTGGCTTTTTGGACTTCTTGGCAGTTTCTACTTGTACAGGTACAACTTCAGGAACGGGTTCCTCAACAGCTGTATCTTCATTGCCCAGAAGAGCTGCCTGCTGAGAAAAATCCATGTCCTGCATAAACGACATGCTGCGCTTCAAAGCTAACAGCCGCTCCTAGAATCAGAAAGGACAGAGCAGCAGGGACTTTACCTCTCCCTCACAGCCAAGGCACCATGACGATGGGATGGGATGGGGATGGCCACAGCCTCACCTGGCCTAAGGGCTAACTTTCCACGGCGGTGCAGCGGGAGGTGGTCACGGGGGCTCAACACCAAAGGGTGCAGCCCACTGACTGGATGGTGACAGCTCAGAGCCAGCAGAGGGGAACGGGCCAGTGTGGCACATGCTGCACCTCACCTGCACTTGACGCACACAGCCTGGCTCATGCGCAGATCTGGGAAGCGACTCAGGCTGGCCAAGGAGGACAAGGACGTCCTGCCTGGATTCAGTGAGGCACCCACACAAAACAAACCCCCAAGACTGGCTGCAATCCAGTGAGACTGACACCCAGGCTTGAGATCAACAGAACCGGAACTTTCCACCAGCCCTAAGGAGACATTACAGCTAAGTCATGGGCAGGTGCATGAAGGGAGAGGGCCATGGGGAGGGCAGCCAGGGACATCTACCCTAGAGCAGAGGGGTCAACACCATGACGGGAACAGATGGATGGAGCGTGCTGTTCACTGTGACTTTCTGTTTAGGCATGAGAACGTAGAGCAGAGCCCTCGCGCCCTCTGGCTCGCTGCTGCCGGCGGGCTTACTTTGCTCATCATCTTAAAGCCTGCATGAAGGATCTTCTTGGCGAGCTTGTAGTACACAGTGTCTGGTCTGTTGTACGTCATGGCATTATCACACATCAGTTTGAAATCTGCCTGGAAAGAAGAAAGAAAAGCCAACCAAGTTTGGGACACAACGTGGACGACAGCACAGAGCTCTAGTGGAAGACAAACTCAGTGCTCTGATCTCAAAAACAACTTTTAAGAATGCAGGGAAATTTTCATGGTTGTTCGCTGGTCTTTACTTGCATGAAAAATTTTCCATTAAAGAGTTAGTCAAAGTCTACAACTTCTTTCTGAACACAATCCACACACTCTATAAGAGGAAAAACGAGGACTTCCTGTGCTTCCTTCTCTTCTCAAGCCCTCTCCCTATGTTTGGGAGAATCAGACATAAATAGGAATGAAAAGAAGTAAAAATTTGTTTCTTTCAAGTAAAAGTCAAGGGACAAAGTATAGGGCTGGGGCACAGTCATGTCCTCTGTCTCTGGGATTTTCCCACAGAATAGAATTTAAATTCTGAAAAAGACTTCCCACAAGTAAGGACAGCCTTGTTAAACAACCCACAGAATAGAATTTAAATTCTGAAAAAGACTTCCCACAAGTAAGGACAGCCTTGTTAAAGTACCTTCACAGTACCTTATTTGGAAACATCAGTATTTCACCATCACAACAAGTTACTCGGAATGTGCCTCTTGCTTGCGAGTGATATCAGCAGCTTACAGAATGACCCCTGAAGCCAGCCCCACTCAGGGAGCGCGTGCCACCAGGGCCTTACCAAGTTACTGTTCCCAAGCCCCACTGCCGGCACTGTGCCAGTGTCCCCAGGGCAGGCACGGAGGCCATGGAGCCCTGTCCATCACACATCCCACTTACTCCCTTGTTGGGGACACGTACCGAAGTGGACACTGCTCACCTCGCAGCTTTATCACCAGGCAAGTGGCCACGGAAGGGGTCCACAGCTAAGAAATGTGGCAAACTTTATGGCATGGACTACTGCTAATGACCTGCCCTCTGGCTCTGCCTAATTCTCTCATAAAAATTTTCTTTCCTTTTCTCCTACTCTCCTTTAGTCTGTCGTGTTGTTTCTGTTAGTCAGCAAACTCTTCCATAAATGTCTCCAGTAAATAAAAAGTCAAGCTTTTCCAAAGTTAGTACAATCTAAGAAGTAAACCTAATGTCTTTTTCTAAATGATATTAATGCCAAAGTTACCAAGCATTCATTCTCATTTTCCTCCTGGTTTCAAAGTCAATAGCAATTTTTAACTCTCACAGCTGGTATCAAAAAGTAGAAAGACTTAAGAGCAAGTCCTCAGAAAATATAAAAATTATTATTCTAAAAAAGGTAAGCTCCCTATTATTACGAGACAAAGCCAAGAATTAGAAAAATCAAGCTTCTAAAACTATTCTCAAACCAGGCCAAATTGGACACAACATTGCTTGAATCGACATGTCCGGTTTAGTCCAGCACAGTAACCAAATAAAAAAAGAAGCACATTTCTAATAGCACGCAACACAGTTTAACTTCCAGACCAAAAGCCAAGAATTAGAAAAATCAAGCTTCTAAAACTATTCTCAAACCAGGCCAAATTGGACACATCATTGCTTGAATCGACATGTCCGGTTTAGTCTAGCACAGTAACCAAATAAAAAAAGAAGCACATTTCTAATAGCACGCAACACAGTTTAACTTCCAGACCAAAACAGAGATGATGTTTACAAACAACGCATTTCCTTAATGCTATTTTTGTGACACATTACTCACACACAGAAACACCCGTGAATGCTCACCTAATGTGAGTGAGGTCATAACTGGACATAAACACAAACAGCTTTGCAAAAATTATTTCAGGAAATGAAATTAATTTACCTTAAATTCTGTGACTGACTTGTACTCATTAGCTACAATTTTGTCTTTCATTGTGCCAAAATCCATGGGATGTTTTATTATCATTGAATATCCAGGAGCAATTGCATCCGTGACGGGAAAAGCAAAAAATCCATGAGGATCTTTTCTGAAAGCAAAGACATCTTTAGTGAAAAACCCTAGACTGCTAATGGTACAAATTCCATAGAATCCATAAGTTTGATACAACTGACCAAATTTTAAGTTTGTTTCTTAAAAATAAAAAATTATAAAATGTGTATGCCTTTTGAGATGGTGATACGTATTTTGGACACAATACAAATTCCATGAGTGTCTGACTACTGTCACTGTCCTGGCTCCAGCCTTGACATGCACATACAAGCTGTCTCTGACGCTTTGCCTCATGCAACCATCCCTGCAGAGTGGACATCCTGCAACCATCCCTGCTCGTGGAGCTGAGGGTCCACGAGCCCCACGGCCCTGCTCCCGACTGCCACTCTGCACAGTCTATCCCCCACTGTACTGGGAGTCACCTCGTGATGGGGGGAGGGGGACAGTACCTCAGAGCAAAGAAAGAGAAGACTGCACACATCCCTAAGCACAGGCTCTTTAGAAGCACTCAAGGCTCACCTCTGGAGCTGGCGGAGGAAATGCTCCAGGAGCTGCTGAATGGGTGTGCTCTCGCTCTCAGCTGACAATTTTTAAAAAAAGTAAAAAAATAAAATTGAACAGAAAGATTTTAGTACTTCACAGAGCTCCGATTTCATAGTATTTATTTACCTATTTTGTGTCTTATAGCACTTTAAGCAAGAACCGAGGATACAAAGATAAATAGGACACAGCTTGGCAAAGGAAACCCACAGCTCCCCTTAAGACCCCTTAACATGCCCTTAATTCAACAATATGGAGCTGTCACTTATCAATCCATTTTCAGCTCATACCACTACTGGCCTGGTACATCCTAGACAAGGCATGAAACAGGAAACAAGGGCTTTGTACACAGAGGCTGATCCTGGAGTTGCTGATTTCCTCAACTTCTGGTTATGCCTCTGCTCATTAGCAAGATGGAGATAAAAAAAACCGCACACCATAACAGGAAACAAGGGCTTTGTACACAGAGGCTGATCCTGGAGTTGCTGATTTCCTCAACTTCCGGTTATGCCTCTGCTCCTCATTAGCAAGATGGAGATAAAAAACCGCACACCACATGGAGATAAAAAAAACCGCACACCATGTGGGGGTTCTTCTGAGGACTGTAGTTGTTAACTACACCTCAAAGGGCAGTTCCCCAACAGTGATGATCTTATGAGTGACCAGGGTATGTGCCAGAAAGCAACATCTCAACATTATCTCTTCAGGCATACTGTAGGGATGGGGACATGTTGGATATAGAACCTCAAACAGGTAATTAATTGAAGTAAGTTAACAATCACCAACAACTACTTTAACTTTTGAAACATATCCATCTAACTAACTGGGTTTTGGCCCTGACCTCCTCCACTCACCAACATGCCTGGCCACAACCCTGTGAACGCTACCATGGCAATAACTTGAACAGGAGAGGGGGTTGCCAGAAAACAGTATCCCTTCCCCACAATGGCTGCAATATGTAATACCTCCTACCTCCCCTAGTAAATCGGAGCTGACCAAACCCAAAATCAGGAAAAGAAATGCCTGAGGAACAAAGTGACCAAAAACTCAGAGGTCATGAGCATTCCAGAACCTTCCTCTGGTGGAGCTGGCATGGTTTCTGATGGCCTGAATAACTGACTCCACACTGGTCTCCCACACCTGATGTCCCAGTGCCTGGCTGCCTCGGTTTCCCTGTAATTTGGGAAGCACTGATGCTGTGGGTCTGTAGGAAGAGAAACCCCTTGTGAGTACAAATGCCCCAAACGTGGAAAATCATGTGTGTGAAGGTTGGGGGTGGGGGGAACCCAAAAGGTAAGACTTTGTCAGTTGGGAATTCTAGCCAAATGCCACCCCTGGTCAATGGTGCTCACAACAGACATTTCAGTGAAGACTTCCAATTTCCTTGTTCCACCCTATGGTCACCTCAAGCAATTCCACACCTACCATTCAGGCCCTTAGGTCCCTTCTTTCCAATGGGAATTATCTGCATTTTCATTGACATTCACATCTTTTACAAGTTTAATTGACAGGGAGCTACTCTCCTGATGCTGCTATATTTGGGATAGGAAGGGTAGATAAAACTAAACTTTTGGACCCAGGCTTGGTATTTTTTCTGTAAAAGCCACATAAAAAATAGTCAAGGCTTTGACAACCACATGCTTGATCGCTGTGGCCTACACCTCTTTGGCTCTCTTTACAAGTCTTTGAAATTGTATAACCATTCTTAGCTCAAGAATTAAAAAAAATAAGTAAATAAATAAACTTAGAAAGGCCTCAAGCAGTACTTGACTGAAGCCTGCCCTAGACACTCAAAGACAGCAGGAACCCTAGACACAGGCAACAGCTGGTGTGAGGCACTGGAAGAGAAAACCCAGTTCTCTTCTCTTCCATGATTCTCCCCAAGAGCAAGAAGACATGGTGCCAGCCCCTGGGGTACAATGACAACACTCCAGCACTCTAGGAAAGCCTCTAGAAAGACAGATGCTTGCCTGGCTGTGTGCGGCAGGCACGGATGGGCCGATCAGGGGGCGGCTCCACCTCCACCTTCTTCCCAGGGTCGAAGTCGCCAGCCTCGCCCTCTGAGCCACCGTGTTCCCTCTCTCGCTTCCGCTTCTTTTCCTCCTGTGAGGCGGTGGAGGGGACAAAAGCATTAAAGTGCCTGGGGTCTAGTCCCAGACTGGTGACACTTAGAAACTTAAACACATCTGCCTCAATCACACCCTCAGCCCGCAAGGGGAGACTCAAAGCTATGCGAGAAAGATCCTGTACTAGAAACACTTCTCACCACATGCCCTTCCCAATGAAGACCCTGCTGCAGGGCCGGCCAAGCAATGATGCCCAAGGCGCCTGGAACCGAGGCAGCTGACCTACGTGGCCTGCACTCTGCTACACACTGGGCGTCCCTCTGCCAAGGCCAGGCCGGCAGCGCCATCTACATCCCAGGCGCCCGCTAGCAGCTGCGGCCAGCCACACTTCCTCACCTTTCGTTTCCTCCTTTCCTCGTCATCCAGACGCTTCTCCTTCTCTGACTTCTTCTTCTTCTTTTTCTTCTTCTCTCTGTGCCTCTCTCGCTCATGGTCTGACCTATCGTCGTAGTAACTGGAGTCGTGACCAGACCCTGAGAGTTCAGTCACCTCACTGCCCCCAACCTTCAGGACCAGCTTCAGAGGCTTCTCCAAAGGCTTGTCTGCGTAATCTGCGGAGACACAGACGGTGGCTTTCTCCGATGCCGAGGGACAGGCACTACCCAGCTGGGTGGCAGCACAGGGCGGAGGAGCTGGTCTTGCCAAGGTGGAGAGCAAGGAGCTACCAAAACCGCCAGGGAAGGACGGAGGAGCAAACCACGAGGGCTGCGTGCTTCCCCTCCCTTCCCTTCTGCAGGGGACATCACGGAGAACGCTGTGCGGGACACAGTTCACATTGCCCGTCCAGAGGAAACTGGGACCTAGGACCTAGAAGCCAGATCCCTGCCCCCGTGGCTTGCCACAACCACCTGTGCCGCTGGCACCGGATGAGCCACTGCGGGGGGGCGGGGGGGGAGGCAAGGCCCGGGGACCAGCAAAAAGTTGCGCTCCGCTGCTCTCCTCCGGAGGGTGAGGGCCCTGGCCTGTGGCCCTCGTGCAGGAGCCTCTTCTGGAACCCCCAGCCAGGACCCCTCCAGCACCCACCCGAGCTCCCAGGTCCTCCGCCCACGTTCCCGGAACCCCCTCCGTCCCGGAGGGCCCGGACTCCCTGCGCCCAAGACCCCGAGACCCCGCTCGCTTACCGGGCCCCGCCCCCCACCTACGTCTGGGCACCCGCCCGCGATACCGGCCCGACGCACACCCAGGACCCCAACCTCCAAGCCTGAAACCCCTACCCCCGACCTGGAACGCCGCCCTTGTTCCTGGGACCCCTGCCCAAGACCCCAATGATGGTCGGGGAACACCCTCCCGCGTGCCTGAGACCCCCAACCCGCAATCTTGGGCTCCACCCCGTGCCTAGAACCCCGCCCCCGGGCGCCCGTCGCGCCGCCCACAGTCTACCGAGTTCATGAGTGGGAATTATGGGAGCTTTGAAAGAGCATGGACATGTTGGGGCAAGTTTGTCACCAGCGGATACCTGAAACTTATCTCTAAGGAAGAGAGCTGTGCGGTTCTCATCTTATAAAGAACCAGTTTTGAAGAATAGGCTTGGCACTAAGATTTTGCTAATGAGGTAGGCCACCCTATTCTTTAATTAGGACTGATGTTTGTGGCATCGTCAGAGTTTTGTTCTTACCAAAATGTGATGCCGACATGCGTGGTTTCAGACAGTCTGGGGGGAAGGAAGAGTATTCCAGCGCATTGTGAAGGGCGGCTGAGCACAGCCCAGCCAGAGGGCATCGGGGCTATCCATCGCAAGTTTTCATGTTCTCACCTACAGATTCACCTACAGGTATTTATCTTAACAGGCAGTAATGCAGTTTGGTGGATATATGTGAAAAAATGCTTATGATGTATTGTTAATAATAAGTGATTTGAAATATTTTAATTCTGTACCCATCAGAGATTGGTCAAACGAATTTGATAGATAACATCTACACCAAATATGATATTGCCATTTAAAGAATAGAATAGCTTTCTATCTACTGATAGAAAGATGTCCCCAAGCTGTGGTAAGTGGGAAAAGGCACATGTTAGAAAACTGTGGTGGAACTCAACATTTGGTTAGATGTATGTGCGTATCATGGACTGTAACATCTTTGAGGTTGGATTTAGGGGACTGGCTTTATTACATATAACAACCTTTTCTTGTAATCTAAGAGCTAGGGTTTCTTTAACATACTATACATTACAATCAGTATTTTTGGACTTTAGCATCTACTTTGTGGAGCTGGGGTTAAAGAGTAAGACATTTTGAACCTGTGCAGATTTATTCTGTTTTCTTCCTGACACAGCCCATCGACCTGAGCGCATGCACTCTTGCACTTCACATCTTCCAGCTGAATGAAGAAGGCCCCAGCAGTGAAAATTTGGAGGAAGAGGCAGAAAATATAATTGCGGCAAATCACTGGGTTCTGCCTGCAGGTACAGGCTGTCAGTAGGGGCGTGTGGGGCAGGCCAAGTAAAGCCAAGGTCAGGAAGGCACACACCGTAGGCTGGCCACATCAGTTCACTGAGGAGATTTTGTCTGTCCACTTGGTTTGAAGGATTTTTACAATGTTTTACCTTTTATGGAAAGTACAGGTTGAGTAGCCCTTATCCAAAGTGCTTAGAACCAGAAGTGTTTCAGATTTCAGATTTTTTTCAGGTTTTGGAATATTTTCAGAGTATGTACCAGTTGAGCATCCCTAACCCTAAATCTGAAAAGCTCCAATGAGTGTTTCCTTTGAGCATTATATCAACGCTCGACAAGTTTTTTTCTTTTTTTTTTTTGTCTTTTTTGTCTTTTTCAGTGTCCGGCAACGGATCGCAACCCTCAGTGTTGCCCCCGTACCGGACCGGGGAACGGCAACGGGATCGCAACCCTCGGCGCCGCTCCCGCGCCTCGCTCAGCCAGTGAGCGGGAACCAGTCTGTATGTGGGACCCGACCCCTCGGGCGGGAGCGCCGCCGCGCTTCCCAAGCAGCGCACTGTAGCAGTGCGCCACCGGGCCGGCCCCAACAGGTTTCTGTTTTTGGTGCATTTCAGAGCTTCGGACTAGAAATGCTCAACCTATATACCATGAAAGAGGAAAGTAGAGATTTCCAGGATGAGGCTGCGTTGCTCCTTGGGACAGTGCCACATAGGTGTCAGCTGCCTAG